CGTGCGCAAGAGCCGGAAGCAGCAGCAGCGGCTGCTCAGGAACATGAGCGCGCACGCCGTGGTGCTGGAGCTGCTGCAGATCCCCTACGAGAAGGTCAGCCCGGCCCTAGCCCACCGTCCTCACAGGGTCACCCGCCCTCCTCACAGCCGTCCTCACAGGGTCCCCCCGCACCCGCCCCCTGTCCTCACAGGGGCTGGCCTGGCTGCAAACGGACCTGGAGGCCTTCTCTCCGTGGCCCCTCTGGGCTGCCTTTTCCCCACTGAAATCTTTGCTTCTGCCCAGGGCTAGTGGGAGAATGGGGGCCGGGCTGGCCGCTCTCTGGGGCAAGCAGGGCAGCAGCTGGGGTCTCACTGAGGGGCCCCAGTGCTGCCTCCAGAGCCAGGGGCGTCAGTGGCAGGCGTGGCCTGGGCCCTGGCCTCCTGGCATAAGATGAGGGCTGTCTGTGCGCAAGACCTCCCTCGTCCACTGCGCAGCCTGAGTTCAGCCCGTTTTCACCTGCCCCCCCCCACACACAGGCCGAGGACACCAAGATGCAGGAGATCATGCGGCTGGCACACGAGTTCCTGCAGAACTTCTGCGCGGGCAACCAGCAGAACCAGGCCCTGCTGCACAAGCACATAAACCTGTTCCTCAACCCGGGGGTGAGACGGGGGCTGCGGCGGGAGGCGGGCCGGGGGCGGCTGTGCTTCCTTGCGTGGCCGCTGAGACTCGGACCACCAATGCAACACTCATTTCCGGGGAACATTGTGATCTGCTCTCACGGGGACATAAACCTCTCCATCTTTGTGAGGAGAGGGAAGGGGAAGGAGGAGGAGGGTGGGGGGGGCCAAGGTGAGATGTGTTCATATATATTTTTTAATATATGTTTATTGATTTCAGACAGGAAGGGAGAGAGAGAGAAACATCAGTGATGAGAGAGAATCAGTGATTGGCTGCCTCCTGCACGCCCGCTACTGGGGACCAAACCCGCAACCTGGGCATGTGCCCTGATTAGGAATTGAACCATGACCTCCTGGCTCATAGGTCAACACTCAACCACTGAGCCACACAGGCCAGGCCAGATATTTTTAATAATATCCCTCATCTCACCTCACTTTGGCCACAGAGGTGCTGCCTCTCTCCAGCTCCCCCTCCCGAGGCAGCGCAAGTTGTCTGTGTTCTTACAAATGCAGAATAATTCACCTGCAGCATAGCTATGTAACAGTTTAGCTGGTGAAATATGTTTTTCAAATATATCAAATACATATTTTGCAGTTTTTAAAGAAAAATGGGCGCACTCTACACGTTGTTTTGCATTTTGCTCTTTCACTTAAGACACCATGGCTGTGTTTGCAAGTCAGAGTTGCATGTTTTCCTCATTCCATTTGGTGGCTACACGAAACATCAGTGATGAGAGAGAATCAGTGATTGGCTGCCTCCTGCACACCCGCTACTGGGGACCAAGCCCGCAACCCGGGCATGTGCCCTGATCAGGAATTGAACCATGACCTCCTGGCTCATAGGTCAACCCTCAACCACTGAGCCACACGGGCCAGGCCAGATATTTTTAATCATATCCCTCATCACACCTCACTTTGGCCACAGAGGTGCTGCCTCTCTCCAGCTCCCCCTCCCGAGGCAGCGCAAGTTGTCTGTGTTCTTACAAATGCAGAATAATTCACCTGCAGCATAGCTATGTAACAGTTTAGCTGGTGAAATATGTTTTTCAAATATATCAAATACATATTTTGCAGTTTTTAAAGAAAAATGGGCGCACTCTACACGTTGTTTTGCATTTTGCTCTTTCACTTAAGACACCATGGCTGTGTTTGCAAGTCAGAGTTGCATGTTTTCCTCATTCCATTTGGTGGCTACACGGCACCCCATTGAATGGCTGTGAGCCGTCTTAAAACCGTTCTCATGGCGACGGAGAGTTAGGCAATGCCTAGCTGTTGGTTTTGCAAACAGCATTACAACGGACATCCCTGTATGTGCACACGCAGAGGCACACCTGTGCGCACACACATTCACACATGCACACGTATGCACACACATGCACACAATCACTTATCAGCACCGCTAGAGCTCTGCAGGGAAAGGATGCCTGGTTGAAGGGCAATACTCCCTCTTTGTCATGTTCAGAGAAAGAAAAGGCAAAAGGTAAGAAGTTGAGAGCCCCTAGACCAGTGGTTCCCAAACTTATTTGGCCTACCACCCCCTTTCCAGAAAAAATATTACTCAGCCCCTGGAAATTAATTTTTTTTAAATTTTAATAGCAGTTACTCATTGCCCCCAAATGCACCTGTGGCCATCACTGCCCCCTGGATCGCTGCAGCGCCCACCGGGGGGCGGTAGCGCCCACTTTGGGAATCACTGCCCTAGACCTCACCCCAAACAACACTCAGTAACTCAGTGGTAACTCTGGGTGAAAAGAGAGTAAAGCCAGAAGACAACATGCAAGCATCTTCATGACCGTGTGGATGTGAAGTTTCTTACGCAGTCTGCTGAAAGCTCTAATCGTAAAAGAAGTCGTTGACAAGTGGGCCTCTTTAAGAATGTCTGTTTAGTAAGTGACACCGCCAGGAGCATCCGAGGCAAGCAACCGATCAATGATTCTCATCATCGATGTTTCTCTCTCTCTCTCCCCCTCTCCCTTCCTCTCTGAAATCCATAAAAATATATTTTAAAAAAGAAAAAAGAACAGGCTAAATGAAGCTATGGTTGTAGAAGTCCAAATCGTGGTGAAATTGGGGGGCGGGCAGGGCATCCTTTAGGGGCTATTCCATTTCTGGTCGGGGCGCCGGTGTCCCTTGGTGACCCCTGCAGCCGAGCACGCCTGACTTTAGCTCTCGGCGTGCTCGTGATGGCTGAAAGGTTTAGGAAGAAGGCCGGCAGTGCAGGAGCGGGACTGGAGAGAGACCTTCGAGGGGCAGGCGGTCTCTATATGGGCGGACTCTGCTTGTTCTCGCGTGCACCCTGCCCCGCCACTGACGCCCCCCTCCCCGCGCCCTCCCCTGCCAGATCCTGGAGGCGGTGACCATGCAGCACATCTTCATGAACAACTTCCAGCTCTGCAGCGAGATCAACGAGCGGGTGGTCCAGCACTTCGTGCACTGCATCGAGACGCACGGCCGCAACGTGCAGTACATCAAGTTCCTGCAGACCATCGTCAAGGCCGAAGGGAAGTTCATCAAGAAGTGCCAGGACATGGTCATGGCCGAGGTGACCGCCCTCCCCTGCCTCTCCTGTGCTCCCTAGAACGTTAAGTTAGTTAATCTTGTACTTGGAACTGGAGCCTCTCCTGGAGCCGTGTGAAGGCACAAAAGTAATTGCTCATGTGCGTGTGCGCCCATGTGTGTGTGCGTGTGTATTGTGTGTGTGTGTTCTCACATTGTGAACTTAAACTGCAGACATAGGCAAGAGTCCAATCTGATTTTTTTAAAGATTTTTTTAGAGAGGAAGGAAGAAAGAGAGAGAGAGAGAGACACTTCGATGTGAGAGAGAATCATCGATCGGCCGCCTCCTGTCCGCCCCGCATGGCGATGGAGCCCACAACTTGGACGTGGCCCTGCCCGGGAATCGAACCGTGACCTCCTGGCTCATAGGGCGACGCTCACCCCCGGAGCCACGCGGCCGGGCGAGAAGAGAGAATCATCGATCGGCCGCCTCCTGCCTGCCCCGCATGGCGATGGAGCCCACAACTTGGACGTGGCCCTGCCCGGGAATCGAACCGTGACCTTCTGGCTCATAGGGCGGCGCTCACCCCCGGAGCCACGCGGCCGGGCGAGAAGAGTTGTGTTTTTCATGCCGCCCGCCCCTGCGCCCGTGACGCGAACGCCCTGTGTCCCTGCAGCTGGTGAACTCCGGCGAGGACGTGCTCGTGTTCTACAACGACCGGGCCTCCTTCCAGACGCTGATCCAGATGATGCGGTCGGAGCGGGACCGCATGGACGAGAACAGCCCGCTCATGTACCACATCCACCTGGTGGAGCTGCTGGCCGTGTGCACCGAGGGCAAGAACGTCTACACCGAGATCAAGTGCAACTCCCTGCTGCCCCTGGACGACATCGTGCGCGTGGTGACCCACGAGGACTGCATCCCCGAGGTGAGCGGCCTGCGCGGTGCCCGTCTCTCCACGCGGCGCCAGGGGCTGGCCCGGGGGCCTCGCGGTCTCGGGGGCCTGCCACTCATTCGCTGTGAGGTTTCCGTGGGCTGAAAAGGCGTTTGCTCGAGTGCTGATTTGGGGCCAAAGGAACAAGGAACGTGGGGGAGCTTGAGACGCGGAAACCCTGTGGTGCTTCCGCTCGGAGGGGCCAGTCACGCAGCCTGTGAGCCGAGAGGGTTGGATCCGAACGAACGTCTCAGAAATGCGTTCGGAGTGGGTTAAGGTTGGGTTCCTATGGACGTAAGCCTGACCCTGTATGTTTATCCTGTGAAAGGAACGGTTGTGTTACAAAAACAATGAGCAACAGATTATCAAATAGGAATAGCCCTGGCCAGTGTTGCTCAGTGGTTAGAGTGTTGGCCCGGACGGATCTCAGGTTTGATTCCCAGCCCCAGGTGGGGCGTGAGTGGGAGGCAGCCAATCCATGTGTCCTTCTCCCATCCATGTCTCTCTCTCTCTCTCTCTCTCTCTCTCTTCCCCTCACCGCCCCCTTTCCCCCCCTTCCAGTCTCTCTAAAAATCTATGGTAAAATGTCCTCAGGTGAGGATTCACAACATTATTCTCTTCCAAAATCTTTGTGTTTTTAAATTTCATAAATGTGAATTTTCAATATAAAAAAAAACCCAAGGGAATGACATCCGGCGGGGAAGTGGAATGTGTCCGGGTCGTTCTCACTGTTAAGATGGGACGGCGATCGAGTCCCCGGCGCCGAGTGGCCGTGCCGTTCACCAAAGCCTGTGTCCGCCCAGGTCGAGATCGCCTACATCAACTTCCTGAACCACTGCTACGTGGACACCGAGGTGGAGATGAAGGAGATCTACACCAGCAACCACATGTGGAAGCTGTTCGAGAATTTCCTCGTGGACATCTGCAGGGTGAGCTTCCTGGCGCCGGGGCGGCCGAGCTAACGTGCACGAGTGTGTGTGTGTGCGTGAGTGTGTGTGCACGTGTGTGTGTGCGTGTGTGTGCACGTGTGTCTGTCCGTGTGTCTGTCCGTCCCTGTCCCTGTCCGGCAGGCCTGTGTAGACATAAGGGAAACAGTCTCACGATGTCCACCCACTAATCCGTGGCACGGGCGGCAGACATGGCTTTCTGTTTCCAGACGTCTCGTCTCCCCCTTTTACTCTTGGCCGAGACTCGGTTTTATTGGCCAAGCTGCAGGGAGGGCAGGTCATTTCCGGTTCTGGTTCCACCCTGGGTGGGGTGATGTGAAGGGACCCCCGGGACATAGTAGATCGGATTATAGGTTTCCTCGCCCTTGACAACACGTCTCTCCTCGGGCCCCTCCCCGAGCTGGAGCGTTGATGTCACACGTGTGTGTGCATTTCATCTCGGGTTCCTGGCCCTTGGATCCCGCAGGCTGGGAGCCAGACTGGAATTGAGGCCTCCTGTTCCTTTAAATCAGGGTCAGGGCTCGGAGTTTCCTACCACGGCCCTCCCTCAGGGAGAGACCCTGACCTGCAGGCCTGCCCTGCGTGTGAGGGTGGGCAGGAGCGGCCTGGGGCTGTGTGTAGGCCTGCGTGGGCGTGTGTCTAAGGCGTGCGGCCGTCCCGCAGGCCTGCAACAACACGAGTGACCGGCGGCACGCGGACTCCATCCTGGAGAAGTACGTGACCGAGATCGTCATGAGCATCGTGACCACGTTCTTCAGCTCCCCCTTCTCCGACCAGAGCACCACGCTGCAGGTAGGGGGAGGGGCTGCAGGTAGGGGGAGGGGCTGCAGGTAGGGAGCACGGGGCGGCGGGGGGAGCAT